CTCTACTCTACTCTACTCTACTCTACTCTACTCTACTCTACTCTACTCTACTCTACTCTACTCTATTCTATTTTGTTGCTTTTTAAAAAAATCTTAAACACTTGGTTGACTTCAAGATTCCTTCTGGCCTATAAGGAAAATCCCTTTTGGTGCCAACCTATCTCTGTTTCTGTGACTGCTGGAGTCAGAGCTTCTCTCAGCGCCTGTGACCCTGCTTCAATAACTTATAATACAGCGGTGCCGCCGTCTTTGATGGAAAGCCCCATCCTCTTTCTTCGTTAATGATGCTGAAAATCCTCATTGTCATTCAAGCATTGATTCAACCTCTCCACAAAGGTATTGGATCCAACAAGAGGACTCTCATCACAAACGCTTCCAGGCTTCCAGCGTGAGAGCCATTGTCTAGGAGCTGAGTCGATGGGCCTTGCGATTTTGGAGAGCACTTGAAAAAGTTGGCCCAGATGCTGGGATGCATTTCTAGCATCGGAAAGAGATAAGCTTAAAACTCATCCATCCTTTGCGCATACGAGCTGCAGTCGCCTCTAAACCTCAGTTATTCCGACCGTACAACGGGCATAAACGGCAAGATATATCACGGCCCTTCTTTAGATGTCTTCCAAACCTAATGTTAACCTAAGACTGTCTACTGTGGACCTCACCCCATTTCTAAGAGGTCCATAAAGGGGGTGTGCATAAGTGCACCACCGTGCCCACTATCCCTGTCCAACTGTCCCCATTTATTCATACTTCGTTACTGTGTTCATATTTATGTTTATACTTATACATGTTTGACAAACTAAGTAAATAAAACCAACCTCTTTCCTTGTCATGGAAGAACAAATGGCTTCATAAAAAGATTTGCTTCATCGCTGGAGGTTTTCAAGAAAAGATTGGACAACCAGTTGTTCAGGATGGTAGAAGGACATCTGCCTTGGGCAAGGGGTGGGACTAGAAGACCTCCAAGGTCCTTTCCAGCCCTGAGATTCTATGGTTTTTGTTTAGCTACCTTTCAGATCAGGGTTTGAGAAAGAAAGAAAGAAAGAAAGAAAGAAAGAAAGAAAGAAAGAAAGAAAGAAAGAAAGAAAGAAAGAAAGAAAGAAAGAAAGAAAGAAAGGNTCTCTCCATCCCCTTGTTTCCCATGATATGATTCAAAGGACAGCTACTCAATATTTTATATTTGGTTACTCAGCAGTGCAGCAGAGCCAGAAGGATGAGAAAACGCGTGGTAATTTGCCTGCTCAATATACATAGGGTTGGTATCGCCAGCGGGCTACAAGGATCACCCTCTGTGAGAGTCTTGTTTCTCCTGAGAGCATTCTTAGCAAGGAATTTAAGATTTCACCAGCCTTGCAGGGGGTTGTGTAGAGTAGACAAACATGAACAATGAAGTGTATAAAAAGTGTGTAAAAAGAAGGCCATGGTGGGCTGCCAAAGACATCCCCACTTCCACAAAGTCTTTTACCACCAAGAGATGTCACCTTCTAAAGCGTAACATCCAGGGCCATCAGCCTTTTCTCCTTCTCTTCTTTGAGACATTGGTGAAGAACCTCAACTCTTCCAGGCTCCATCTGTATCTTCTCGTGGTCTCCTCCTGTCCAACCAGAGGTGGGTTGCTCTTGGTTTGGCCAAACCGGTATTGGAATTCAGGCCTGGGTCACAGAACTGGCAATGACCCAGGCCCGCCATGCCCCTGAACCGGTTCCCTCACCACTGCTGGGCCGTTGTTTCTCAACCTTGGCCATTTTCAGATGTATGGACTTCCATTCTCAAAATCGAAAATTGGGCAGGAGGGAAGGCACCATCTGAAAGTGGCCAAAGTTGAGAACGTTGATCTATTGAATCATTTTTGTTCAACCTCAGCCTGTTCGGTGCTCTGGTTCCAACCCAATCGTTTTGTTTTCCAGGAATCACAGTCTTGTTATCCCTCACCGTTTTTATGCTCCTGGTGGCCGAAATCATGCCGGCCACGTCGGATTCTGTGCCCTTAATTGGTAAGTCCCTTTCAAAGAATTAATCTCTTTTCCATCTCGCAATACAGTCTCAAAAAGAACTAATTTAGGAAGCTTGTGTCTTATGCAGTTCTAGCTTCACAGAATTTTAGATTCAAGCATGCTCTCTTGCAGATGTTTCATTACCCAACTAGGTAACATCATCAGTGCTAGAAGGGAGTGGGGTTCGTGGAGAGGAGGAGGAGGAGGACTGTGGGATCCTTGGTGCTCTCTGAGTGTGCTTGTTTTCTTGCAGATGTTTCATTACCCAACTAGGTAACAACATCAGTGCTACTGCGTTTCCCCCAAAATAAGACAGGGTCTTATTTTCTTTTGACTCCCCAAAATAAGCACTTGGCCTTATTTTCGGGGAGCTCTTATAGTTTTTGAGGTGCAGGAGACCCCTTAACCTCTGCCCGTGGGCCACGGATCAGCGGATCCAGAGAGAGCCGGAAGTTCTGTCTCTGTTTCTGACTTAACGACGGAACGACAAAAACAAGATGAAAAGTATCTAACAGAGCAGGGGCGTCAACCTCAATTTCATCGAAGGCCTGCATCAGGGCTGTGGTTGACCTCGGGGGTGGGGGGAGGAGGCGGCCAGTCGTGACCAACTGGGTGGGTGTGACCGGCTCAACGCCACTCACTGGATGTGGCCGAATGGGTGGCAGACTGGATGGGCGTGGCCAGCTTGACGCCACTCCCCAAACTGCTGGCATGTTTCCTCTTTGCGCTGAGTAGACCGGGCCGAAGCGACGTGGGTTGGACCCTTACATTTTCCAGGGCAGCCTTGCGGGATGGATCCAACCCCATCGCAGGCCACATCTGGCCCCAAGGCCTTGAGTTTGACACCCCTG